GCACACGCACATGTCCACCCCGTTGGGGAGGGACTAAGATGGGAAGACTATCGGTCTTGCTGTCTCCTGATCTAGCTGAGACAGTGTGGGCCCTAGCTCATGAAGAGGTCCTGCCTCAAAGAACTGGGTGGAAAGTGACAGAGGGTGGTCAGCACTCTCCTCTGGCCTCTGTGTGCACACACAGGCATGTACCTGGGAACCAAACTCTTTAAAAACTAAAAAGGGGGGCTGGAGAGACGGCTCAGAGGTTAAGAGCACTGACTGCTCTTGCAGAGGACCTGGGTTCGATTCCCAGCACCCACATGGAAGCTACGAACCATCCTTAACTCCAGTTCCAGGGGAATTCGACGCCCTCTTCTGACCTCCGCGGCATTGCATGACATGGGTGCACTCACATACGTGCAGGCAATACATTCATACACATAAAATAAAAATGATAAAAAAATAAAAATGAACCTACCATATGACCCAGTTATACCACTCCTTGGTATATGCCCAAGGATTCATCCTATTGCAGAGACACTGTACAACCATGTTTGCTGCTGCTCTTTTCTTTTCACAATAGCTAAGAGATGGAAGCAACCTAGTGCCCCTCACTCAATTGACAAGTGGATAATGAAAATGTGGTTCATTTATACTATGGAGTTTTATTCAGCAGTAAAGAAAGATGAAATCATGAAATTTGCAGGTAAATGGATGGATTTAGGAACTGTTATACTAAGTGAAGTAACAGACTCAGAAAAACAAAAGACGTATATTCTCCCTCATACGTGGCTCCTAGCACCAAATCCTTTTAAATTCCATGTCCTTTTAATAAGATGATGCTATACAGCAGTCCCTTCTCCATGAAATAACTATCAATTAGGCTTTGGCTGAGCCTAATTGCTAAACATAGTCACAACTGGGCTTGTTGGCGGTTGTGCACATTCATTAAAGAAGTGCCAAGCAGGGTCACTGGACCCTCACCTGAGTATCCAGCCACTCTTCCCAGCCAACTAGTCCAGCCTTGGAAGACAAAAGAAAAATGAGGAAGAACCCAATAGAGGGATGCTTTTGGAAGCCCTTGTCAAGAAACTCCAGTGGACTCTCATATGACATTTGAAAATTGCCCTGTTCTGACTTTTTTCTAGTTCCCTGCTAGAACTTGTAATGCTAATTACTCTTGCCTTTACTTCTCCTTCACATCTCCTATTCATGGTTCAGACTTTCTTTTCCTCAAGATAAGAGTTATGCAATTGGGGAGTCTTTTAGATAGACTTACTGAAGAGGTACGCCAATTGCCTCACCCTGCGGTCCCTGTTCAGCATGGAAGAAGCCAGAGCCGTCTGCATCTCTATTCCCTATTGGCAATTTGGGTAACCCCTTCAGAGGATGGTGTGATAAGAATAGGAGGTAGGAATTGGCTAGGCAGTTAGGGCAAAAAGACCCCAAATAAATGCAGCCAGTTTCTTGGGCCTGTTAGCAATATACTCTATTCCAAAGGCCAAAAATGTCAAAATGTCAAAAGTATTTGGGACCTTGTATCTAATCCTTAAAAGATTTTAGGGTTACCTCTTCAGAGGCAGGAATGTTAGAGGGGAGGGAGTGGGCATGGATTTGATCAAAACACTTATATTCATGTATGAAATTCTCAATAAAGTTTTTCTAAACATTAAAAAAAAAAAATCAACTCTTGTTGGCCCAAGAGACTCCCAGATAGTAACCCAGCATAGAACTGGGAAAATGAACAGCAGACCCCAATCTTATCTAAAGGAATAGTGACAATTGATTGCTGCTAGATGAGGACCAGCTGATCTTCCTAAAACAAGGAACTCTAGAAAGGCTGACTAGATTCAGTGGGTGGACAAGCACTGGGGAACAGCTGGGGACACCGACAACACGGTGGACAGTAACAGGGCTGACAGTATATGGGCTCCAGGGGTTGTGGGCCAGCTATGGGAGGGCTCCATTTGGGCTGTGGGTATATAGATGAAGAAGATTGTTTGTGATGTTCTGATGAAACACACACACAAAAATTAATAAATAAAAAAAATGAGCTATATTTTAGGAAAAAACGTAAAATTTGCTTCATTTTAGTAGAGGTGAAAAACATTACCATTGAAATCTACCTGATGACTTTATATCCATGCTTAGGTGCCAAGGATCTCAGAAAGTAACCAACTGTGACTAGTAATAATCAGATATATATAGATTAGAGATGCATGTGTGAACATTTAAGTGTTAGTTGCATTAACAATGAGTTTTTCCTGTATGAAATAATATATTTTAAAATGAAATGGAGATTTTTATTAAAGGTTAAAACCTCATTCAATTTTGTCTTATAGGGTTTGTACTGAGTATTAATTCAACTGTGACCCTAGAAATTTACAGCCACTTTTGAAAGAGATGCATATTTGCTCTAGAAATTGTTATTAAATATGCTAATGTTGTAATGAAATGCTTCTAATCATGTGGTTATTAAACAATTAAAAAATTTAAAAAAAAGAAAAATAAAATCCTGGTCTTCTGTCTCCAAACTCTAGGCTCCTCTTTCTGTTATCATGTGTTACTCTACTGTTCATTATTTCCTTAAATAATTAAAATTCCACAGTGCTATTGATGCTATTCCAGGGATGGCACTGCAAAGAAAAGATCACTGTGAGAAATATGATTTCATTGCTCACTGCACTTGCTTGAGGAAACCCTCCCCCCAAACCATTTATCAACTTTTCAAGAGCTCTCCATTCCAGAAGGTACACTTGGCCATTAAAATCAATTCCATACCTGCCAACTGCAAGGCTATCAACTGGACAGTCTGGGCCCATAGTGCCTTCTGTGGTGACATGAACTGTTTGTCTCCTTTCAAAGTCGTTCTTTAATATTTTGCTCTAGTTTCTCCCAAACAAAACAATTCGTAGCTTCCAGTCACGCTAACTTTCTGGTTCACTGCCTGCTTAGGCCTCAGTAGTCAGAGTTCTGGCTCATCTCCAGCTACTATTGGGCCTGGGCCTGTTCCAGGCTCCTTGGGCACTGAACCTTGGTGAGTCCATAAAGTTAATTTTCCAGACCAACTTTATTTAACCTGATATGAACTCTGGACAAGGTAGCTCTGGAAAAATTCATATTGACATTCTCACTGCATTTAAAAATATTTTCTTAGTTGTCAAAAAGAAACATTTACCAATGCAAACCATATTCTAAGCCATAAAACCAACCTTAACACACTTCAAAGAATTTAAATTATACAAAGTGAGTTCTCTGAAAACAATGGAATTAAACTGGAAATCAGTTACAGAAAGGTATCTGGAAAATTTCTAAATCATTGGAAATTAAACACTCTTAAAGAATTCATAATATCAATCTAACGTAAACTCCTCGTGAACATAGAGCAGGAAACAGTTTCCTAATCATTTAATAGGTCAGCATTACCTTGATACCCAGAAAACTATAGATCAATATCTCTCAGAAACAGAGAACCGCAATTTAAGATTACCAATGCAGTATGGTAATATATCAGAATAATAAAGCGTGGTAAGTGAGGTGGGTTTATTCCAGGAATGAAAGATTGGTTCAGTAGTTTACAAATCAATGTAATGCGTCAACAGACTTAATAAGAAAAGTCATATGGGGACTGGAGATGGTTTAGCTGTTAAGTGCACTGACTGCTCTTGCAGAGGACTGGGGTTTACTTTCCAGCACCCACATGGCAGCTAACTACCATCTGTAACTCCTGTTCTAGGGGAATCTGATGCCCTCTTCTGACCTCCATTGGCATTGCACAACACAGGTGCACCTACCTACATGCAGGCAATACACTCATACACATAAAAAATAATAAACAAAATATTTTTTTCAAAAGAACTTCATGAGAATATACATGCACAAAAACAAAGTGGCCTGATCATATCTAGACTGGTAAATCAACACAAAAAACAAAAGACAGTTGATTGCCCAAATAACAATAAAGATTCCCAAAGATTTGGCAAAGTATAATGAGTTACCCACATGCAGGCAATACACTCACACACATAAAATTAAAATAATACATTTTTTTAAAAAAAAGAAGAATCACGTGGTCATCTCAGTGGATGAAAGGGGGGCTGGGGCAATGACTCAGTGGTTAAATGCTTGACACTATGCATGAGTTTGGATTCCTAGAACCCATGTAAATGAGGCGGGTGTGGGACTTGAGCCTGCCTCAATGAATAAGGTGGAAGAGCTATCAAGGATGATTCCCAACATTAACCTTCTGCCTCCACATGCACATATACACATATGCACACATACTGACACACATGTGCCCATATACATGCAAATATGCATACACACAAAAATTGAAAAAGAAAAAAATAGAAAAAAATAATTCGGCAAGTCAACACCCTCTCTGGATTTAAAATAAAAAACAAATCTAAGCAAACTGGGAGTTAAAGAGAACTTTATCTTATAAAAGCCTTCTGTGTTGGTTTTATCTCTGCATAACAAATTACGCCCAAGCATAACAGCAAACATTTATCCCACAGATTTTGGAGATTAGGTATCCAGGTATGACTCAGCCAGGTCTCAGGAGGTTGACCTGAAGAGAACTAACATATACTTAACAGAAAATGTTATATGTGAATTGTTATATTGACTTGAAATATGATAACTCAAAACTGGAAATAATTCAAATATTCTTCAACCAGGAATGGATAAGCAAACATCAGTTTACCACACAACGGAATACTACTCAGTGGTAAAATGGAAGACTGTGCTGGTAAATGCAACATGTGTGAATCTCAAATGTGTTCTGTGGACGTGAGAAGCTTGTCTTCAAAAGCTTCCATTTATATGGTGTCTGGGAAAGGCAGAGCTACAGATAGGAATCAGGATTCGCATTTCTGGAAGGGTCCCAGGCCACCACTAGGCCATCCCTGGACCTCACTGTATAGTCCTCCATTTTCCAGGCAGCCACCGACCCCTCTCTCACCAGCCCCCAGCTGCTCCCCAGCTCTGCCCAGTTCTGCATTTCATAGCTCGCTTCTCCTCACCGGTTTGGCCCCTGTGTCAGAGACACTGCATTCCTTTGCTCTCCTGAGATCTCTCCGCCGGCGCGCACATGCACCTCGGAGCCGGGCGTGCAGGAGACGGATAAAACGTCTGTCCGGTGGCGCGCTACCCTAATTCGTGATTTCCTACATCCATCAACGGCCCCTGCCACTGCTCAGACAGGATCTACAGCGACGGAGCAGGGAACGGGCCTAACAACCGAGGCCGGCTCAGCAAACGTCCCCTTCCCACCCCTGAAGGCCCCACTGCAGGGAGGGAAGGGCTGCCTGGCACGGAATTACTGCCGTCTGGCCTCCCTCTGGGCTCGCGTTCTCCCGCTCATTCATTCACTGAAGCACCGCACCGAGCCAGACCGACGCGGCTTAGGGTTCCTAGACTGGCAGGGGACCCGGAGGAGTGAAGGCCACTGCAAGGTGTGAGCCGGGTCATCCCAGGCACCTGCAGGCTGCCAGGAGGCGCCGCGTCCACGCGTGGTCCCCGAATGCGCGCCAAGGCCGCGCTTCCCACGACCCGCCGGACACAGTGTGGGGAGCGGGCTGCGGAGACCCGGCTGCCGGGAGCGGGGTGCGGGGAGCCGGGCAGAAGCTGGCCGCCGGGACCCGGCCGCCGGGTACTGGGAGTCCGGTGCGGGTAGCCGGCGGTGGGCGGGGGCGGAGCGGGCTGCGGGCCCCTCCCAGGCCGGCGTCGGTTCCCATAGGGACCCCAGCGACCACAAGACCCAGCCCCGCTGCAGGCGGTGGGGCGGGAGCCGGACCCGCGGTGCAGAGTTCCGGCGGAGGAGGCGCGGACCCCGCGGTGCTGCGGAGAGCGGCCGAGCCCAGCACAGCCCAGTCGGGCCCGGGAGGCCCCTGCGGGCCCAGCTACTTCTGCCGCCGGCCGGAGGGAAACGAGACCCGAAATTAGAACCGGGGAAGCCCTTCGCCTTCGCAGTCCTCCAGCCAGCTCAGGTGTCTTAGATCGGATGAACCACGGCATTAAAAAGATTATCTTACAGCTCGGCTCCTTTTAGAATGATGGGCTACATCTTTAATTCGAGGGCAGCGAACAAATGATTAAAATTCGGTCACCTACGGCAGCCACCTGTAGGCTCTCACCCTTGATCGCGATGTGACTGCTGGGGGTGGAGCCAGTCCACACCCCGCTGGTCCTAATCCCTTAACTAGTATCCTTGTTTTTCTCTAGGTCCTCCACGACAACCCCTACTTGATGGGGCCCTAGTGTAGTCGGCTCGTGCCAGTATCTCATAAGTGACGTTTAAAGACTATATGAACAACCGTTTTTAAAGATTTACTCGTCAGTGATGGAGAAATATGAAAAAATTGGGAAAATTGGAGAAGGCTCCTATGGGGTTGTTTTCAAATGCAGAAACAGGGACACAGGCCAGATCGTGGCCATCAAGAGGTTTCTGGAATCGGAAGATGACCCTGTCATAAAGAAAATCGCCCTTCGAGAAATCCGCATGCTCAAGGTAATTGACTCACTTTTTCTTGAAAGTGAATTTTCAGGGGTGAAAATGAGAGTACAGTGAGCGGTGCTGCGCTGAATGCGCGTGCAAGGCCGTGGTTACGTCTTCCCTCGCAGGATGTCTGGGCAGAGGACTGATGATGTGAGGAAGTAGGTGGAGAGGTAGGGGGAGGTGGCGAGGGGTACGGCAGGCTTCTAGAGAAGCTTCAAGCCTTTTCATTTTTCCTGCTCTAGCTTCTCTCATGCAGCTTCCTATCACCTGGAGACCTGGATGGCAAGAGCCATTATGCTTTGATATACAAGAACTTAAAACAGCTCAACTTTACTAGTGTTCTTGAGTTTTGAACTTCTAGGCTATTTTTTTTTAGTAGTATCCTTTTTTTCATTTATTTATTTATTTGGTTTATTTTACAGTGTCTCCCTGTAGCCCCAGCTGGCCTGAACTAGCTATGGAGACCAGGCTGGCCTCTGTCTCACAGAGATCCCCCTGCTTCTGCCTCTCCAGTGCTGGCCACCACACCTGCCTCTATTAGTATTCTTAATCCATTTACCTGCTTCCTTTGTGTGTGTGTGTGTGTGTGTGTGTGTGTGTGTGTGTGATGTACATGCATTTATGGAAGGCTGTGTGGAGGAGGATGTGATGTGCAGGTGTGCAATACGTGTGTGAAAGCCAAAGGTTGGCATCAGCTGCCTTCCTCAATAGCTCTCCACCTTATACTATGTACTGAAGCAGGATCTCACTTGAACCCAGAGCTCATTGATTGCTAGCCAGTTTTCTCCGAGGATCCAGCTCAGGCCAACACGCTTATGTACGGGCTTCCATCTGAACTCCTGTCCTCAGGCTTGTACTACATGTACACTGAGCCATCTCCCCAGTATCCTCATTCACGTGTTTTCAAATGGCTAGAAAGCTGGCAGGCTCACACCTCATGCGTATCTACTGCTGAGCATCATAATGCCCTGTCTGAAAGTGAGGGTCCAGTACAGAAGTGAAAGTGCGGCATCCTCACTGTGTATTAGTTAACCCAGAGCACAATGTGGAGAGTGTTCACTACAAGAGGAAAGTATCTTTCCTCTTATTTTGGAAAGAGGATTCTTTTCTGAATTCCTGGAAGAGACAATCCAAATCATAGAACAGGATGTGATATGGATGATACAGGGAGGGTTAACTGTGCCTCAGTCTGACCTGCATCACTGCATCTAGGGAAGAGTGACTCCAGTGAAAAGGGAGTGAAATGTGAGGGGTTTGCTTTTATTTTTGCATCTCCATTTTCTCCAGGCCTCTCCTAAAATCTTTTCACATGGATTAAGTGTGTGAAGTCCCGTCTAGGTGAGGACCCTGACGGGGAAGTAGCAAGTGATGGATAGATTAAAATAGGTGGAGAACAGGAAAACGGCTCTCCTGGGGTTTGAGCTAGTCTTAGCTTGCAAGTTGTCTTTTCTGAGAAGACACCAAGTATCAAAGCATGCTCCCCTCAGAAGGGGTGAGCCCAGCAGTGTTTGTGGGGACCTCTCTGCCCTGCCTACCTCAACACTGTAAGCGGTTGCCACCTGCTCTTGTGAGCCTGTGAGCATTTTCACTTTCTTAGAAAGTAATACTTGCATTTCTTTTTATTTTATTTGCTAATTACTATTATTTCCTGGTGCTGAGGATTGAACTCACGGCTTTGATCAAGTTAATCAAGTTCTCTATCCCTGAGCCACATTCCCAGTCTGGTAATTGCACTTCAAAGGTTTGATTTACTCCTAAGAAAAGAAATTATGCCAGGGCTGACAAGATGGCTCAGTGGGTAAAAGGTACTTACCACCAAGTCTGACAACCTGAGTTCAATCCCTGGGCCCCACATGGTGAAAGGAGAGAACTGACTCCCACCAGTTGTCCTCTGACCTGCACAAATGCACTGTGGCACATGTATGTCCTAGCCCCCAAAATAAATACAAATGTAATTTTAAAAAAAGGAGGGGCTGTCCCAATATTAGTTGAAGAATTATTGGCAGCTGATTACTGCTGGGTGAGGAAGAGCTGATCTTCTTAAAGGAAGGGACTCTAAATAGATTGACTAGACCTCAGCGTATGAACTTGCACTGAGGGCCATCTAACTTGGAGGACACTAACTTGCCATGATAGACATTAACACAAATGACAGAATGAATGAATTCCAGTGTGGCCCTATGGGAGGGTGTCAATGGGAAAGGGGGTATAAATATGATTAAGATGTTCTATATGAAATACACAAAATTCAATTAAAATTTAAAAAGAGAGGCTGGAAAGATGGCTCAGTGGTTAAGAGCACTGGTTGCTCTTGTAGAGAATCTGAGTTTGGTTCCCAACACCCACATGGCAGCTAACAACCATCTCTAACTCCAGTTTCAGGGTATCTGAGGTCCTTTTTTGACCTCTGTGAGCATTGTACGACATGGGTGCACTTACATACATGTAGCAATACACTCATACACATTAAATAAAATAAATAAAACATTTAAAAAAGAGAAAATGTGTCCCTAAAGAGTAATGGTGCTGTCTTCTGCTCTGAAGGTCACCTGTGAATGCCCTCCCCAACCTCTCGCCATGTTTTATCATTATTGTGTTTCCAGGTGTGGCTCCCTAAATGGACTGAGTTGCTCTAAGCTGGGAACTTTGCCTCTGTACCTCTGTGACTCCATAGCACACTCTTTGGTACATGATAGGCTTCCAATAAATGTTCTTGCTGAATTTTTTAATGTTAATAAAATAAGCTCACACTGAGTTGATTTCTAAGCAGGCAGCCCCAACTCTCAAATCAAATGCAGTGTCACCCCTCTAAGTAAGGTGGTGGGACTACGTTATTGATCATCTGTCCCTTCAGTCCTAACTTTTTGAAATTATGATATTCCTAATATCTGTTGCACACTTGGTAAATATTTGCTAAGTGAATTGAGGGGATGTTAGATGAAGATGTATTTTTTTCTTCACTGATTTCAGAAAATTCTTACAGAGCCCAATTGTGCCTAAAAAAGTTTTTGTACATCCTGCCTTTCAAAAGCTCAGATCTTGGATGGAGGTGTGAAATTCCCCTGGCTGGTGCTCCTGCTATACTGGTATACTAATGAACAGAGCCTGTGACACTGACCTTGTGTGCCCACAGCTGGCAAGAGCTTTCCAAGGGCTGTTGAATAAGAAAGGCATTGGGAAGCATGCTGGAATTGGATTTTCAAGTTTTAGCGGGGAGACATGGAATGAGATAAAGGAAATGTGCTTTCAGCCCAGCTGATCTGGAAGTTGAGTGTGGCTCTGTGGCCTTGGGAAAAGGATATTAATCTGTGTGGGAAGCGAAGGTGGATGGTGCAGGGCAGACAGCTGCTAGTGAGTTCCTAGGGGTTCTCTGGGATGCCCAGTGAGGAGCTGAGGCTTCTTGTGACCCAGCTGAGGTGAGGAGAAGAATTAACTGAGACCTCAGAGCTGTGGGGAAAGGCACCTTGGTGACTCGGCCTTTGCAGATGAGGCTCCCTGGCTGCTTCCACTCCACTTCTTACAGAAAGGGAGGAATGGCAGAATGAGGCCCTAAGTGGAGCTTTGAATGCCATACTGAGGGAGGCTTTGGTGAGGCTCCCTGGCTGCTTCCACTCCACTTCTTACAGAAAGGGAGGAATGCAGAATGAGGCCCTAAGTGGAGCTTTGAATGCCATACTGAGGGAGGCTTTCTTCTGAAAAGAATTATTTTTATTAAAAGGTTGTCATTTGCAGACTTTTGGATTCACAGATCATTGTAATTTCTACAATATTTTTTTCTCTTTCAGAGGTTTGGAGACTGGGGTAGAGTTGTAGCAGTTTTCAGGATTCTCAAGTACTGGGATTATAGGCTTGCACCACCACACCCAGCTATGTTTTTCTTTTTCTATTCTTTGAAACAGGGTCTCATTCTGTAGCCCAGGCTAGCCTTGAATTCACTGTGATCCCAATTGCTAGGATTACAGCTGTGTGCATCATGCTTAGCTCTCTTTTTCTGGTTTTTAAATTTTTGTAGTGCTCAAGATTGAATCCAGGGTTGCTCACAAATTAGGCAAGCCCTGTACCTCTGAGCTACACCCTCAGCCCAGTCAAGAGTTTAAAAAACAAAAACAAAACCCCCAAACCAACTACTAATTTCTATCACTACCAGTTCCTAAAAGAAAGGACACTTTAATACTCAAATGAAAACCAGAAAAGACATAGTTTGGGGTGGGGTGGGGGTGGGGTGGCAGGGAGAGTATGGCCTTTCCTGAGAGAGAACAGTTGGCAAGCATAAATAACATTTTTGCTCTACCCATATCATGCGTATCTCTGCTGTATATGGGCGGGCACATGTCATTGTATGTGGGCACTTGTCATTGTATGTGTGTGTATTGTTGAGCTTTTTTCTTCATTTCACTATCCATTATAATGGTAACATCACCTTTTCTGTGCATTCTAAGTGTCGTGATTATGAGCACTATATCTGGGAACAAAGAGATTCTCCAGATCAAGTGATACCCTACTTATAGGCTCTATACTATTTAAAAAAAAAAAAAAAACAGTAATATATACCGGTTCCCTGGGACGATCCCTGGCATTCCATGCAATAATAGAATATGGTTTGTACCCATCCTCAGAGAATTCCTTGTGTATGCTTGCTAGCCTGTACTGTGCAGCTTAGTACAATGCCCAGGAGCTGTTAGAAATTCTTTTTAAACACTATAGTTGTTTCTTTGTTTTGTTTTGAGACAAGGTCTCCCTATAGCCCCAACTGACTTGGAACTCTCTGTGTAGACGAGGCTGTCCTCAATCTTACAGAGATCTATCTGCCTCTGCCTCCCAATTGCTGGTATTAAAGGCATGTGCCACCAAGGCCAGCTAGATGTTTCTTTGTAAACAGATGTAGTCATGGAAGGTAATTGTCCAGCAAGTAGCTGGGCAGCTTTGAAAGCAGTGCCTCTGTCCTGTTTCCCTTTCTTGTTATAAAGTCATAGCAAGAAGCTGCAGTGAGAGGATCATTATTTTACTAAGAT